AGTCACCAACATAAAGTCCAGAAGCGGTAAATTTGTCGTCTGAGGGCACTTCTAGCATTGTCAAAATCACATTACTGATTTATAGATAGTTATGATGATTATAAAGTAAGGGAAAAAAAGAACCTGCATGTTAATTATTTGTTTTTTTTTAATGGTAAGTGACGTGTCTTCAGAATTACGTAAAATGCAAGTATTTGTAGGCCGGTTTGGTTCAGAGGTTAATATGTTGGCCTAGATAGCAAGAGACTTGAGTTCTAATCCCACCTTAGGCAGGAAAACCATCTTGGTGACTTTAGACAAGTCACTTTCTCTCAGCCCAGTTGACTCACAAGGTTGTTGTTGAGGAAATTGGAGGAGGAAGGATTATTAGGATTATATGTGCGCCACCCTGAACTATTTATAAAAATAATAACAGGCATATAAAATAAATAAATAAATAAATAAATATGCATTGATGCTAAGAGTTAGCGTAACTCACTTCTTTCTTTTGGTTTTTCAGAGATGTCTGAAGTCAAACAATGGCATCTTTTTATCAAATTTAAAGGAGGCTTTGGTTGCTAAGATATTTTATAATTTGAATGCTGCCCTTCTAGTCTAGATTTAAATTTATATTCAAGAGAATGTTTTTTACAAGTTAGAGCTAATATAAGGAAGAAGACAGCTGTTTTTCCATCCCTTGATTTTACTGACTTTCAGCATTTGTCTCCAACTCCTAAAAAAGAGAGAGAGAGAGAAAAGAAACAGAATACTGTGTCCTGGTTTTTAGATGTGTTGAGTGGAGCTTTTGAAGCACTTCACTTGGGCTTCAAAAGCAAAAGTACGATTATGTATTAACTTACTCTGTATAAAGTATTTAGCTGTTTAAGAGGGGGGGGTCTAATATAGCATGGTCAGTTTTTTTTTTAATGTATCGGCTGTTCAAAGAACACTTTCCATATCACTTTACTATTTAGGAATTCCTGTATAACTCCTACAGACATTCATCAGATTTAAAAATATCTGCAGCATACATAAAAATGTACAGGACAGTGTTGGGCCTTTTAGTTGCCCATATATCAGTCTTCTCAAATCTGGACACGGTCTATACCAGGGGTGTCAAACTGCCGGCCCGTGGGCCGGATGCATCACCGGGAAACCACACCCACCCCATTGCCGGCAATGGGGGAAAAGCTCCGATACGTTGCATGATGTCTCGTGACGTCGCGAGTTTGACATGTCTGGTCTAAACTCTAGAGAACTCCCAAACTTATCCAACCAATATGGTTACTGCTGAGAATTCTGAGACTTGAATACTATATATCTGAAGGATGCCCAGCTTAGGAAAGACTACCAAATCCTAAAAATTATTCCCTAGAACAGGGCTTTTCAACCTTTTCACCCATTGTGCCACTTTTAGGATATGGCAATATCCGAGTACCACCAGTCGCCTAGCAAGGTGTCCAAAACTTGATGACACCCCCCCCAAAAAGGAAAAAAGTGATAAAGTACAGGTAGTCCTCAACTTACAACAGTTTGCTTAATGACTGTTCGAAGTTACAGTGGCACTAAAAAAAGTGCCCCCCAAGCCACGGCCGAGCAAGACACCTGCCTGCCCACCCGGCGGCGCTCTTCCTCCTGTCCGAGGTTTTCATTGTTGTCAGCATTTCTGTTGGGGATTGGCAGTGGGGGGTGTTTGGTTTTTATTCCACCCGTCTGCTGGGTGGTTGCAACAGGTTTTGGTCACTTCACATGACCCTGGGACACTGTGACCGTCATAAATATGAATCAGTTGCCAAGCATCTGAATGTAAATCACAAGACCCTGGAGATGCTGCAACATTCCAGCTAATTGTTGCTTCTTCAGGGCTCAGCAGAAGCACCAGGATCAGCGCCGAGCTCCAGCTGGAGCCAGCCCTGACAGCCCTGCAGCTCCAGCCGTCTCTCGCTCAGGCTTGTGCGGTGCTGCCACCGGTTCAGCTCATTCCCCTCCCCCATTACCACTTTTCTAGCATGGTCGCGTACCACCTGCCAGGTGCCAATGTACCACAGGTGGTACCCGTACCACTGGTTGAACAGCCCTGCCCTAGAACACATTCATAATTTCTGTGCATTAGTGCAGTTTTTGGAACAGGTTTTTAAACTGGGGGAAAAAACCTTGTTTTTCATTGATCTTTGGAGACCCTCATCACATAGTGTTATACAACAAGTACAGTTACAAGTAATACGGCAAAGAAAATTGGAAACCCGTTCTTTTAGAGCAGCTATGCAGGTTTTGGGATTTTTTTTTCTTTTCATTTTGCCTCATCCTTCAAAGGTGAGCTTCGTGAGGTCATAATCTCATTTGACATCAGAATCCCTTGAACTCCTGCATAGCAGGATTCATCAGGAAGAGACATAGAGCTGCCAGAGGGAAGTCTGTATTTAAACACAGCTCCCTTTGATTGTTGCAAATGGAGAGAGGAACATGATGAAATTTCTAAGGTGACTGGCCGCCTAGATTCCCAAACTGAGTAATAGAATCTATATGTTTTAAACAAGATTTGTAGTAAGCATAAGGGTTTGTTTGAATACATCTTTACTTTTTAAGCATTATTGTAAAATATTCATCAGAGAGTGTTTTTGTTTCCCTATGGGAGCGAGAGTAAATTTGGATTTTAAATTGCAGATTATAATAATACAATTTATGCTTCCAGTAGGTGGTATCTGGGAAACATAAGGACATCATTTCTTCACTGCTAATAATGGTCGAAGAACAATGTAGTATTGTAGGTATTTAAGATGTATAGTCAGATTAATAAATGCACAGTTAAATTAACGTCCCGATTGTAATTTAAGAATAAAATTTTTGGTCGAACCTATAATGACGATACAAAAATTATTAACGTATATAAATACTGAACTTATTATAAAATTTTTCGTCGAATAAAAATTAAAGTCACAAGTAGAAGAATTATTCGACCAAAAAGAAAGACCCAACCGTTCTATTATACACCTATAGAAGTCGTTTGTGAGGGAACAACAAATACTAGAAACAAAATTCTTCCATTACTGCTTACTATTTAAAGATACCTTAAATAATAAAGTCTTGTGGCATTTTTTTGGGAAAGTATTCGATTTGGATAGACTGCTAATATGATGGGTAACACAAAATTGTTAATATTACTGAGTCTTAACACATAATGGTATAGATGTAGTTCTCATTTAGCAATCACAGTTGGGACCAGCAATTCAGTCAATAAATTGCTAAGTGAAGCCACAGCTATGCTTACGATCTTACTTCAGTTTTCTTTTGCTCAACAAACCTGTAAAGATTGTAAATGTGATGATTGATCCTAAAGTTATTTTTTTCATCGTTGTAACTGCATACAGTTAGTAAATTAGGCAGTCATTAAATGAGGACTGTCAGTAGTCAGAAAGGCACTTTGTGGCAGACTAGAAAAATGCAGTTACCCTTTGAGATTCGTGGAACCTTTATAGCTGGGCATTTTTATAGGTCAAAAGCCTGGATACTTGTTCTGGTCAGGGAAAGTAATTGAAATTCAGTGCAAGCATTGATGCTGGTATATAGCATTCTAAAACTGTGTTTTTCAAACATGAATTGATAACATGCAGATGCTAAACCCTTCAAATGCAAAAATTCAAAGATACCTCAGTTGCAAACTTAATTAACTGAAAAGATGATGTGCAAGTTCACATACGGTAGTTGTTGCATTAGAACTGTTTTAGTAAAATTGAAAAGTTTTTACAGATACTGAGAGTAAAACTGACATCTCACTTGGTTAAAAAAAAAAACCATGCTGAGCTAGACCAGACATGTCAAACACAAGACCCGGAGGCCAGATGCGGCCCGCAAAGTGGTTTCATGTGGCCCGCGAAGTCATCCTGGAAACAGTGAGGGAACAGCCCCCTCTGCCTTGGCCCTGGCCCAGGCCAGCTGGGAGCCAATGTACAATTTTGTGGTGGCCATCTATGCTGAAACACATTCAGCTCCATAAGCCCACCCACCCCCCGCATGGCCTGAGAGGAACAGTGAGGCTCCTCCAGTGGACCATGCCTTGGCACTTGCCCCGGTCCCACCCCCTTCTGCCAGAGACCCTCAGATCTATCCCACTCCTGCCCAGGCCCCTACAGGCACCCTTGACACGAACGATGTAGAGCTGGCCACACCCACCCAGTAGGTCACACCCATTCCATCCACGCCCACCCAGTAGGCTGCACCCACCCTGCCCACACCCACCCGGCCCCCTGAGGGCAACCGCAATGCTGATGCGGCCCTCAATGAAATTGAGCTTGACACCCTGAGCTAGACAGTAACAATGTGTACCAGTAAAGGAGAATATTTAGCTCAGGGTTGAAATGAAGGGTCCTGTATTATGGATGTTCTTGATTGTTACCTGCCAAGAGTTCATTGAAAGTAGAAGGCTCAAATCAAATAAATAAAACCCGGAGGAAAAGTAATATTTAGAAGAAAAGCTGTTTTAAAAAGTTTTAAAAAATTAATAGCTCACTAGAGAATGTATATGCAACATATTGTCACATGTACTGCATAGCTACAAGCTTGGAGAATCCATAAAATTAACTTTGGACCAATGTAGACTTCTTACTGACAGGATCTGTGAGAAAGCAATGGATGGAGGGGAAGATGACTGTGCTTAGTTGCTTTTGAGCAGCACATGTTGTGCAATATACCTTTAGATCCTCCTTGCCAAATTCCTGGATGGGTTTCTATTTGATACAAACCTGTATATACTAGAACTAGAACCTTTACTTGAAGAAGACAAGGTAGGTTCACAAGACCAATCTTCAAACACGTTTTGTCCTTTCTTTTCGTATTTTCCTCTTGTTTTCCTAGCAAGAATCTTGCATTACAAATAATTCTCTGCTAAACAAGTCCATTGAAAGTTCAAGTAGACAGACAAACCTGCATGGAAATATCGCTGACCTCACACGGGTCTGCCATCTAAGCATACATTGCTACAAATTCAACTAAAAATCTTAACTCCTGGGGACCCTTTCTTTCAGGCTAAAGCTCAAAGGCACAACCATGAAAGATCCAAGTCGTAGGAGTACTAGTCCAAGCATTATCAGTGAAGACATGATCATGAATGGTCACTCTCATGAAGATGATAATCCGTTTGCAGAATATATGTGGATGGAAAATGAAGAGGAATTCAACAGGCAGGTAAGTGAGAGGATACGTTGCTTCCTTTGTTTGTTTGTTTTTTTCTTCTGCATTATTGGAAAGATCCCACTTTTTCCGTTAGTCTAGTTTTCTTCCAGTGTTTTCTGTGAATCTCTAAACCAGGGGTAGGCAACCTTGGCTCTTTTATGACTCATGGACTTCAACTCCCAGAATTCCCTGAGCCAGCCATGCTACCTCAGGAATTCTGGGAGTTGAAGTCCATGGGTCATAAAAGAGCCAAGGTTGCCTACCCCTGCTCTAAACGAAAAAGATCTTGCATCCTTGTTTGGTTTGAAGAAGAGTTGATTTAAAAGTTTTAAATCAAGCTAGGTAACATCATTAGTGAATTAGAGAGTGGAGGTAGTTGAAATTGTTTTTATATATAGTCTGCCAAACTTGGTTGGAGTGTAGTTTCTCCCCAGTTGTTTATCTGGTGCTGTTTCCTAGTTTCCTAAATCTTCTCTTTGTTATCTGTTTCCTTTGTTAACTTTTGGTTGCTTTTTTAACAGTTGCATAGATAGGGTTTATCTCTATATTTTAATAACTGAGATGTCTGCAGAAAAAGAAGCTCAGAGAACAGCAATAACCCACCAGGTGGGTGGGGGAGAGGGGGGAGGGTTACTTCAGGTGACTGAGGAAGTAAAGGAAGAGCTTTGCAGGGCTCAGACCCAATGTTGTGGCAGTGTGGAAGAAGCAGCTATTTAAACTTCCTATTCCTTTTCCGCATTTGCCCTCACTTGCTGCAGCTCAACACTTGAGTTCTCCTAACATTGGGGAGGATCCATCTGAGACGTTTTTGCCATAGCTCTCAGACAGTTCCACTCAGGTCCCTTGATAGTAGATTTCCTTCTGTTGTTCCAATTATAGATTGAAGAGGAATTGTGGGAAGAAGAATTTATAGAACGTTGCTTCCAAGAAATGCTGGAAGAAGAGGAAGAGCACGAATGGTTTATTCCAGCGAGAGATCTTCCGCAAACGATGGATCAAATTCAAGACCAGTTTAACGATCTTGTTATCGGTGACAGTTCGTCACTGGAAGATCTGGTGGTAAGCATCTGATTTTAAAATTGGAATTATTTTAATCAAGCCCCTTTCTTCAAATGTTAGCAGTATACTTTGTCAGCTGTCTCACTCAGAAGCTAGCTGAGATGTGGCCTTCTGACAACAATCAAAGCCTTGTGTGCGCAGAACAACTGTACCATCTTCTCCTCCTCCTTCTAATCTTTTCATAATAGTCCGCCTGCAAGTATTTGTTTTTGTCGAGTGCACAGGTGTGCATTGGGAGAGAAGAATACATGGAACCATTTGGGAGGGTAAAGACTGGATGTGTAGGCTAAGTGATTAGGAAAGTTCAGAGGTCTCCCTAATTTTAACTTTTCACTCTGCAGAGATACCATTTGAAGGTCTGGTAGATGAGAGAGACCTGAAGCATTTATAACGACTGTAAACAACATGTTAATTCAGATGACCGGTACCACGTATCCTGATAAAAAATTATCACATCCGGTCCCCAGAAGTTTGAACCGGGAAAATACTGAACACCTGAAGTTGAGGGTCTTAAGGAGTCGGTCCGTGCGACCGACTCCTTAAGACCCTCAACTTCAGGTGTTCAGTATTTTCCCGGTTCAAACTTGACCCCTGGTGTAGGCTTTAATTACTTTTTAATTAAAAGGGTAAAATTAGGCTCATATGAAAATGAGTATAGGTCATAAAGTATAACTAGAACGTTAAACCTTTAAATATTCCCCTGATTTTTAAGCCAACTTGTGGTTACTTTGATGTCACAGATGATGTAACTTATTTAAATAGAGGAACCCGTTGAGCATGACATTTTAGCTCATATTCAGCATGCATATATTTTTTTCCCAAAGTTACAATATTGGTTTGTTTATTTGTATTTACTGGGTTTGATAAGTTAAATTTGACATAAATTTACTAATAAATAAACCTCCTGTTCTGAAGAAAATGCATTTTGCTTAAATGATTCCTACACAGGCAGTCAGTGTCTTAAAGGAAGTGTGCCGAGTTGGCACCGACTGTGCATGTTTTTTGAAAGCACCTTTTTTTACAAAATCTTGATACATTTTTTTAGCAATCCGACTAATTAAAATCCTACAATGGTGTGAGAAAGTTGGTGAATCCTTGGGTACCATCCATAATCCTGCAGTCTTATTAATGGATAAAGAGGTGATGGTTAAATAAACAATATTGCAAATGGTATGCTGTGTTGTGTCTTTATTAGACACATTCAGGCAACACTGCTTGTCTTTGTTGGAAAAAGTATGTGAAATAATCTGTATGAAGACGCTAATTGAGTGAGATGTTCCAGTTAATAAGAGAACAATCAGAGCTTGAGGGGCCCTCCCCATGTTTTTTTTACTTTTGCTTCATTTAAAACATCCAAGAAAAAAAGTAAAATAAACATTATTTTTAAAAAAACAAAACAGTAAAGATTGATTACAAGCTAAGTAATTTATATGAGTGCTTCTTATATGTATGTACACACACACAAACACACACTGATCCACAAAGGTTTCCATAAAAGATAACCATATTTCATTGTAATTGTCCATGCGTAATTTATGTCAATAGCCAACTCATTTATAGGATGCATGTTACGTGATGTCTTCAGTCCACTGGGTAATTCATAAATTTGTCTTAAATTTAGTTTGAAGAATTAACCTCAAGGGAATAATAAGGACATGGAGAATTCATTTCCATTGTTCATCTGTCAGTTTCCTTGAGGTCAGTATGTAGTTCAAAAGAATGTTTGCATCTGAAAATTATGAACCTTGTTTCAAAGTCAAAATATATGTAAATTATTTCTGCCAAGAAGATAATACTTTAGGACATTGTAAAAACATATTTTCATGCAGTGTTACTAGAAGGGCATCATTATGATTTATTCCTCATCTCTTGAACCTCATATTTAAGTCATTCTGATTTTCAGGCATGTACTGAATGTATCAATTATTTAGGTATTCTTATTCCACGGGGTATTTCTCATATAATTACACTGAATATGAGTAAGAGATATATAGAGGTTTCTTTGACATCGATAGATGGGAATCATTCCTGTAAATGTTACCCTCTGGGATAGGGTAAAGACTTAAAAAAGGTTTGTTTATAGTTTGCATGGAATTCTTTATATGTAAATATTTTTTAAAAAATCCAAAAACTCAGTTCACTGTTTTGTAAACATACAAGTAGGTCTATAACAGAGTTAGTGAAGCAAAATAAATGTTACATTAGGAATGGCTGAGTCTTGACCTTTAACCCAACTGAAATATTGAAATGCTGATACAAGCAGTTTATGCTAGACCAGGGGTAGGCAACCTTGGCTCTTTTATGACTCGTGGACTTCAACTCCCAGAATTCCTGAGCCAGCATGGGGGAACTATGGCCCCTTCATGACTCGTGGAGTTCAACTCCCAGAATTCCTGAGCCAGCACGGGGGAACTATGGCCCCTTCATGACTTGGGGACTTCAACTCCCAGAATTCCTGAGCCAGCATGGCTCAGCTTGGAAGCCTCTCCCTTTCCCCTCAGCATGGCTGGCTCAGGAATTCTGGGAGTTGAAGTCCACGAGTCATAAAAGAGCCCAGGTTGCCTACCCCTGTGCTAGACAGTCCACAAATATCCATGAATTGAAATGGGTGTAAAGAGGGGTGGGCCAACATTCTTCCAAGCCAATTTGAAGTATTGATCAACAAGCATTGGAAGCATTTAATTGAAACAATGTCTACTAAAGAAGGTTCTACCATTATTATATTGTTAGATTATTAAAGTGTCACATACTTTTTCCAGCGAGGAAAGTAAATGTTGGCTCAAACTGTTGAGTAAAGACATGACAGAATGCAATGTTTTAACTCAGGGGTCTTCAAACTTGGCCCTTTTATGACTTGTGGACTTCAACTCCCAGAATTCTTCAGCCAGGCACGCTGACTAAGGAATTCTGGGAGTTGAAGTCCACAAGTCATAAAAGGGCCAAGTTTGAAGACCCCGTTTTAACTAGATTCTCTTTATCTATTAATAGGTTTTTCAGTGAAGCTCAGATTCCGTTGTAGGTCTGCAGGGTTACAAATAGTTCTAAAGATCACATAAACTCTCTTACAATATAGTAGATACAATATCATAGTCTGATGATGTTCTCATTTGGTAGGTATTCTTAAAATTCTATTGCTTTGGTTGTAATTAAAAAGCTTAGAATTTTATTTATAAGATGAACTACTTTTTTAGCTATAATTTCAGCCTGTTATCACTAACAGGAATATTGTTTAAAAAAAACTTGATAAATTCTAGCTCATTGCAGACTTGGGAACAATTTATTGCACTTTAGATTTTTGCATTGATACGTTGAAATATTACCCTCCTTGTCTGTGAATTGTTGCCTTGGCTAAACCTGCCAGGTGAACATTTAATGTGGATGGGCAATTTTGTTACATGGATACCAAATGTATTGAACTGATCCAGCTGCTTTCATTATAAGTAAATTACCTGTCTTTTTAGTATTCTGACTGAAAGTAACTTAAAACAGGGTTGTTTTTTTTAATATAGCACCTTTAAAATTCCATTTTATTCTCAATACAAACTAAGTTCTTTCGTGATTGCCTGTACCTGCCTATTAAGCTTGTTCACCCCTGCTCTGAATTTACAAGTTGGGTTGTATCAAATAAGGCACAAAATTATTTCTTAAAAGTAGGATTTGTATATTGTAAGAAAAATATATGAAGGTCCCTGGTGTATCATGGTCTGTATTATAGTGCACATTAATCCAGACACGTGGATAGGAAGATAATAGATTTAAAATCTTAGGACTTTCATAAGATTGATTTTGCATATTCTGGGTGAGAATGTCAAAATCTTGCAAAATTTCAAATGACATTACCAAATATTGAGAGATATGACAACCTTCTAAAATTGTAATACTTTGATTTATTTATATTGGATACCTGCACATTGGATATGCTACTAGAATACCTTTGTGGAGCATAATCATCCCTGGCCTACAGATTGAGAACTCGTAGCCTGGTGTCCTTTTAAGTCTAAATTGGGACTCCATCTGATGGCAGGAAATTCCATAGTTTATATATGCATTGATTGAAATATTTCACATGACCTCAACTTCCAGCATTGTAAATAAAAAGAAGAATGGGATCTGTATTTTCTGCATCATGCACGATGTTATTATACAACTTTGTCTTTCCTTATTTACTTTCAGCCCAAGTTAAAAAGCCCCAAAGTAGTCATTCCTTATAAAAAACCTATCTGAGCCCCCCTTATAATTATGGTTGCTCTTTTATATATTGATTATTTTGCACCTTTTCAAGTGTATTCCAGTCCTGCCATTACTGTACTGATTTTTTTTACATTTTCTATTCCTTTCTTAAGTCTGAACACGAGATTTGTCATTTTTAACAAGAAATGCTCTCTGAGTTGTTACTTTTTATTGAGCTGTGCACCCCTGACTCCCAGCATTCTTTTTCCGATCACTTTTAGTAACTTCAACTCCCATTCATGGAGGTTTACCTTTGGAATTTTTATACCCATCTGCATTACTTTGTGCTTGCTCACACTGATTTGCATTTGCCATTTTGAGGCCTATTTACTCAGTTTGGAGAGAGGGCCCTTTGGAGCTCTTCCCAATATCTTTGCAATCAAAATGCAGATCTTTATGTCATTAGCGGACTGGCTCACCTTAGTCCTTAACTTCCGTTTATTTATAAACTAATTAGAAACACTGATCCTACCACCCCCAGTCCCCGAGAATTTCACTTTGCACTATTGTCTACTTATTCTTCTCTTTTTTTTAATTCTTAAGAGAATTTCCAATCCCTAAGAACCTAAGCCTTTTTTATCCCCCCCCCCCCCCCCGCTTCCAAGTTTGCTCAAGAATCTCTGGTAAAGGACATTATCAAAGGTGCATACAGTGTCTGATGGATTTCCTCCTCTACATTTTTGTTAATAATGTCAACAAGTTTAGAAAATTAGTTTAGGAAGAGCAATATGTGATCCTCTAGATCAGTGGTGGCGAACCTATGGCACGGGTGCCAGAGGCGGCACTCGGAGCCCTCTCTGTGGGCACACGTGCCGTTGCCCCAGCCTTGCCTCCCCCTGCGACCCCCTCCTCCCCAGCAGCCCCCCTGGAGGAGAGTCGCCCCCAAGTGTGGCCCACACGGAGCAGCACAGCCAAGGACATGGCAGCCAGGCAGCGTAGACAAGACTTTGCCCTCACACCCCATCATGCACAGTTGATGCTGCAGGGCGCAGGCAGAGGGCGTGGCCGCCATGGTGCTGCTGAGCTGCCTGGGCGATCTGCAGCAGGCCCTGGAGGTGGTGAATGGCCTTGTGGGTAGGCGGGGCGGGGACGGGGTGGAGTGGGGGCGGGGCCAGTTTTTGGGCCCTCGGTCTCTAAAAGGTTCGCCATCACTGTTCTAGATGCTGCAGATGTATTACCACTTTTGTTTGTCTTACAATAGCCAGTGGAGAAAGATGCTGAAAACTACGATTTAACATCATCTGGAGAGCCACATGTTATAACAGGGGTGTCAAACTCGTTACGGGACGTGTCGCAAAGTATTGTGACTTTTCCCATTGCCGGAGCTGGGGTGGGCGCGGCTTCCGCGTGACGCATCCGGCCCGTGGGCCAGCAGTTTGACACCCCTGTGTTATAATATATTCAGTTGTTGTTGTGAAAGTTGGTTTAGCTCTTATCGAAGGAAGAGATTGAGATCTTGAATTGGGTGGTAATCAATCAAACCAGGGGATCCTGATCTATCTGGCATGTAAGCTGACTCTAAGCTGTTTCCTTGGGAAGAGTATCTTGCTTTCTCCACTGAGGCCTATTTTCAGGAATGTTTTCACTGCAAAGAGAATCCCTGTTAAACTTAGTGCAAATATGTTCGAAAGAAAACCTTAGGCTCCACGGTCTAAGCTTTTAAAATCTCTCTCTTCCAGGTCAAGAGTAATCTGAATCCCAATGCAAAGGAGTTTGTTCCTGGGGTGAAGTACTAAATATATGAGTAGACTGGGCCCTCTTTTGGTGGATGTAGCACAATTTCCACACTGTGAAGCCAGTATTAGAAGATTTAATTGTTAAAACGCTCTCTCTTCTTGTCACTGTGTTACACTTACGCATTGCCAAAGTTTTGTTAGTCTTGCATGCTTAATAAAAGTGCTGAGACTGTTATTAAGTCAACTGCTGTCAGAGGTTAATGAATTGGAAAAATCTAATTGGATCCAGGCCTTTTGTGAGGGAGACAATAAGGAAGGAAGCACCAGTCATTGTTGAGAAAAGTACCAAGTTTCTGAGAAACTCTTGCAATTCTGTTTTTAGAAGGATTCAGACTTTGATAAAGAGTGGTCTGTTTTAATTAAAACTTATGGCGGTGTTGATATGCACCCAATAATGCCTTAATGTGAAAATAAAAGCAAGGTTTATCTGATTATGCAGATTAGCTGAATTTCAGTACTGCTATTAATTCTTCCCATTATCAAGCAAAACTTTATTTCATGCTGTTCTTTTTTGAGGAAAGTGTGAATTGTAAAAAAATACCTGAATCATTTTTACAGGCCTGTATAGAATCCTTTCTCTTGGCTACAGATCTGGTTGGGGGGAGGCGGGGGGAGAAAATTTGGCAATTGAGATTATATTTGCAGCAAGTTATCATGTTGGAATGTTTGTCCCACTTCTGAGTTTATATTTAAGGTGATGTGAAGTTGTACATCACAGATTCTTCCAGGAATCCAGAAACATGGCACTGCCTCTGTAAAATTTTACAATCTTAAAAATTGGATTTAACTGTAAAATTTAGTATTAGTGATTTGAGTGGTGCTTTTCCCTTGCTTTGTTTAATCATCACTACACAATAGTCTACAGCACAACTTTTTTTTTAAAACACCTAGTACAGTTTTGGCTTCTTAAACTTCATATTTGGGTAGCTTACGCTGCCTTATGTGTTCAGTGTGAATAGTGTTTAAGTTGAAAATATTGTAAAAAAATTATATTTTTTCAAAAATATTTAAAAAAAAAATAAATAACAGTAGAAATGACAAAAACGAGTGTTCATCTTATTTGGAGCTTGTGAGAATGCCTTTGTTGTCCTGTTCACACATTACATTTACAACCAATGCAAACCCAGTGTCTGTGATAAAAGCTGGAAATATGAAAAATTCTTTGCAATTCTCAGAAATAATCCAAGTGACATTCTTGTCAGAGAGAGACCTCTATAATAGAAGCAAATTCAAGTAGGTGCAAATGTGTATTCATGTTGTCCCTTTATTTAATAACCCAGTTTGTCTTTATTTAGTACTATATGCCATAAATATGGAAGCTTTTTTAATGAAGTTGTGACCCTTTGAGATTGAAAACGGCTATAGTTTTGCAAGCTGCCAATGAAATGACAACATTGGTGATGCAGGCATTCAAGACTACATGTGGAATATCAGGAATGTTTTCTGGAAAAGAAGATGCCAGAATTTCAAGTAGACAACCATAAAAGCCAATTAGCTAATTTATAAAAACCCAACCAAAGTAGTTACTCTGGTGTGTAATTCCACAACACTGCTGCTCATGTTCTACTTGTGGTAGCTTGTGTTTACTACCCTTGTTTAATGATTTTTTTAGGAATGTACAGAATATTTCAAGAACAGGAGAGCTATTTCTGGTAGTCCAGGCCCAAACTGGTGTAGTTTGGAATATATTAGTCTGTTCATGAAACAGAACAGGGATGGTTTGCTTCAGATATACACCAAAAGAGAGTTCTGGGCAAAAGTGGTTTTGGGAAAAATGAACTGGAAAAATCCAGAACATAAGTGGTGGCTTAATGGTAAATTTTAAAAATAGCAGTTATAATCACATGAAGATACTGTATTTTAACAATCTAAGTCACTGTTCTTTAATGTGCTGCACTTCATATGTTCCCTTCATGTATTACAGCATGTTCCCAGTAGTCATGCAATTGCAGAGAGCTATAGCCCAAACAATGGGGGGCTTCAGCTTGAAGGGGATTGACCTTAACAATTTCACATTTAGAAGCCATATACAGTGCATTCAGAAGGTATTCAGACCCCCTTCACTTTTGTCAATTTTGTTATGCTGCAGCCTGATTCTACAGTTGTTGCAATTCACTTTTTCTCATTAATCTACACTCAGTACCCTATAATGACAAAGTGAAAACAGAAATTTAGAAATGTCTGTAAGTGTATTAAAAAGAAAAAAACTGAAATATCACATTGGCATAAGTATTCAGACCCTTCACTCAGTGCTTTGTTGAAGCATCTTTGGCAGCAATTACAGCCTCGAGTCTTTTTTGGGTATGACGCGACAAGTTTTGCACACCTGGATTGGGGGATTTTCTGCCGTTCTTCCTTGCAAATCCTCTCAAGCTCAGTTAGGCTGGATGGTGACCGTTGGTGACAGCCATTTTCGGGTCCCTCCAGAGATGTTCAACAAGGTTCAAGTCAAGGCTTTGGCTGGGCCACTCTAGGACATTCTTTTTAATAAATTTACAGACAATTCTAAAATTCTCTTTTGACTTTGTCATTATGGGGTACTAAGTGCAGATTAATGAGAAAAAAAATGAATTTCAACCACTGTAGAATCAGGTTGCCACATAACAAAGTTGACAAAAGTGAAGGGGGTCTGAATACCTTCTGAATGCACTGTAGCTGTATTATTTATTTATTTTTAGTACGTACTTGAGAAGTATACAAGAAAATATCTGAATAGGTATGGTGTGGGGGTTTGGGCCTCTCCACATGTCACTGAATCTCAACGCAAGCTACCTTCTCACCATGTTAATGGAGAAAGATGCTAAAAGTTCAATCTGGCAACACTTGGAAGGGTAAGTTTCCAATTTTCTTTTTCTGCTGCTAAACTACTCGGTTCAGATTTGCTAAAATTTCACCTTAGGTTTCGGCCTTTACTGGTTGTCTCTATAAGACAAATATGTTAATAGTTGTAAAAGGATGATAATTGTAAAAAAGATGACTGGATCTTGGATATTTGCACCATTTCATATATGTGTATATAAAAACAGAATTTGATTCTTGGAATCACATCTAATTCATATACTTGTGAAGAAAATCTTGATAAGAGTGTTCATCAGATTATCTACCACCTATTAGTATTTTAATAAAAGTGCCTGATTTACCAAAGCGAAACAAATGACTGTTAAACCTCAATTTTTGATTCTGAATTACGGATAATATTTTAGTTCAGATATTACCCCAAATAGTAGGAAAAAACTGTTGTTTATGGCACATTCCCAACAATTGACATATTTTGCTTCTTTACACGGTTGACAGAAATTGACAGAAATAACCAATGACATAAATATATAAGATTGGATTTTACAGATATTTCACTTTTATGGACACTGTTGTCTCCTCACACACACCCCAAAAAACCAAGGTTTTACTTGCATGTAAGTATGAACAAATGTCACATAATTAGGATTGACTACAATAACTTGACCCTGGATCGCACATGATCAGACATGGGCTATTAAAATCTGGATAGGAACAAAGAATATTTTGTGTATCTTTTTTATCATCTGCTGGATTTTGTGGCCCAGATCTCGGAGTCTTAGAATAGATGTCTTCCAGCATTAGGTACATACACACTAGTACCTCTTTTCCTTCTAAACTCTTACTAGATATTTGCAAATCAAAATGAATAAAATTATTGTCTCCGAGTGAGTGTGTTTTGACAATGCTTAGGTGAACTCTTAAATCACATTTTTAAAGAGAATATGATATATAAAAATAAAAGTTCTTGAATAGCCACACAAATGTCCTCTGATGTAATTCACTCATTGATCTTGACTGATCTGAGACATTTTCACTGGAATATTTTAAATACACCTAAACCTTTCTTCAGTCTCTGTTGTTAACTTTTCATTATACTATGGACAACCCCTTCAAACCTTGGTACACATCTCTGATGCATCCGCTGTATTCTGTACTTGTTCTGATAGAGTGGGATCTTTCTTTGTTCTTGACCTAAAACCTTTGAAAACAGGACACACTGGTACATACTTTAACCAGTGAGTCCTTTTAATCACACCCATCCCAAATGGAAAATCGTAACTTTTCAGTTTTGCAGATTCATCACTGTTGGCATGTGCTCCAGCCTTCCACTGTACTAAGCCACGTTCCTCTTGAGTCCCTAGAAAAGAACATGTGTATTATAAATCAGGTGGTTGTGGGGAAAACGTTTCAGTGATCCAATTCTTCACAAAAGAAAGCTGTGCTAATAATATATTAACGAAGTAGAGAGTTATGCCATGAGATTCAAGGAACATAAAAGCTGAAATAATAAACTTTCTGGGAAATGCATGCTAGATTTGCCTGTGATGGCTCAAACAGTGTTAAAAGAAGCATCTGCTTTTTGCATCTCATCCCATAAATGAATCAGTTGGGTACTACATTTTGCAAAAGGTTAAAATCCTAGTAGAAAACACATAATTTGTTTTCAATATGATTTTGTTACCCAGTGGAGAACCAGGTAAAAGGTGGGAAATTCCTACCATAAATTCTGGGGCGATAGTTATGGTGCCACAAAAACAACTTCCTGCCCCTTAACATTTAGCATATTTATTGTGGCATGAACTTTGGTAGATTTGAGAGGCAACTGGTTCTTGAAAATCCTTGCCATAATAAATTCGTTAGCCTTTTATGATGCCACAAGGTAGTTACAATATTAAAAAGCAAATGTTATGAGACAGGACTGCAAGAATCAAATTTTAAGATAATATTCACTACATCTGCCTTTGCAAAAACTGTCAGACTACAGTATTACGATAGGAGGTTAAAATGTTGGGAGTCATCTGTCTCCTAATATATCTGGGAAAGCAGAAATGAAAAAGAAATGGTTGTAAATACAATACTTGTACATCTAATTCTGCAATTTATGCCACTGCTATGTATGAGGTTCTATCTAGTGTAATAGCAGCGCTAATGCAGTAACCAGGAAGCACCAAATGATCACATGTAGCTCAAAGTAATAAAAGTGTATATTATTTTGGATGAATTTGGGGGTTCCTTAAATCTAATCTTTTGAAATACAGACTAAACACATCCAAATAATATAATGAAAAGGTTGTTACCTGGAACAGTGTTGTCCAATATAAATGCAATGCTGCCCCCAACAAACATTTCTGTAGTCAAGAGCACTCTTAATATCTGGTCCACTTCAGCAATGCCTACAAACAGTAATAATTTATAGTCCAAAATATGATCAAAATAAGCTTGATATACTTCTGCATTTCTCAAATTTATCTTCATTATCTCATTGTATTCCCTTTTCTCAAATTTATCTTCATATCTGCATTTCTCAAATTTATCTTCATATCTCATTGTATTCCCTTTTAGAGTAGGAAACACTATGTAAAGCACAGAAAAAAAAGTAGGAATGCAAGATATAAGTGACAAGAAAAGGAAGGGAAACATAGCTAAATCTGGTTTAGCCAAACACCATTCCTTACATCTCTTTATATCTTTCTGTTCTTGTAAACCACTCCATGTTTCCACCATGTCCATTCAGCATATCACCTCATACTCTGACTTTTGTTTTTTAAAACCTCTCATGTCTCTTTGATGATTCCATCAATTTCATCCAACTATGACTTTCTGGGAGTTCCCTTTCCTCTTGACTCATTCACACTTTGATTTGATCCTCATTCATGCACTTCATATCACCAAACCACCACCACCACCACATAATTCTAATATAATTGTCATTCATGGTTGCATTCAGTACCCATTCTCTCGTTTTACTACATTCCAATGCACTTAGCTTTTATGTTCACCCAACCTACCCAACTCTCACTTCCATATAATAAAGTGAGCAGAGCTGTTGTACATAGTCATTATCACTTCTTGTGACATTTATATTCCTCACAACAGCATATGCTACCTGCTACCTTTCAACCAGCATTTACATATCTTAAATTTCTCCATCTGTTTTTTCATCTTACTCTACCAGGACACACATTAGTTATATATCACTTTTTATCACGTATAGGCATAACTTGTAATTGTTCACCTCACTTTCACTCAGTTACCTTGGTTTTTAACACATTAATTCCTTACAACATCATAAAATCTAAGATTCACGGGAAATCATGTGGCTTCTTAATCAAATTCTTTCTGCCTTGGAGTCTTTGCTGCATAAAAAAATTCTACTTAGGTTTGTATTCCAAATTCATCCACCTCCACTACCATCTCAAGTATCCCTTGTAGATTTATCAACACATTAACAACCAAAGAAAGCACACATTCTTACCTTCCATCCTTCTCAGAGTTCATGCATGCACAGATTGTATAACTCAAGCTTACTCACTTTGTCACATATTTTCTCTAAATCAGCAAACTTTCTCACACTTATCGGTCCATAGCCACTCTGGACAAGCCAGCTGTTGGCTTATCCAAGTAAGCAAAGAAGAAACTCCAGACCATGATCTTACTGGCTTTCTATTTTGCATGTGGACCCAGTGCTGGATTATTGTCAGAACTGATTCCACTTGAACAAAGTACAATAAATTAATAAATAAAATCAAGATTTCCTACTGTTGCTACCACACAGAATGAATGCCAATCCACAATAAATGTGGAATTTGTAATGAGAGTGGTCATCTCAAAAAATAAAACTCAGATTTCAGGCAGGAAGCTCTTTGTCTGGACCAGGGGTAGGCAACCTTGGCTCTTTTATGACTCGTGGACTTCAATTCCCAGAATTCGTGAGCCAGCCATGCTGGGAGTTGAAGTTCATGAGTCATAAAAGAACCAAGGTTGCCTACCCCTGGTCTAGCCCTTTTCATCTATACAGTATTTCCCCATCAAAATATTTCTCTGCTTCTGCATTCTTTGCTCTCTATTGTCTTTTTCTCTATATATACATTTATTCTGATTTTTACAACGATTCTTTTATATTTAGTGGTTTTTTTCATCATAGCATATTTCACTTTATTCCAAAGGTGTCCAACTCGCCTCGTCACATGTGTCATGACGTATTGTGACTTTTTTTGCATTGCCAGAACTGGGGTGGGCGCGGCCTCTGTATGATGCAACCGCCTGTTTGACACCCCTGCTTTATTCTATCCACGTCCCTTTTATGTTGCCATTAGCATAACTTATACATTTCTGGGGCATTTCTTTTCCCTCTATTCCAAGCAAGTTCCACATTCTTTTTCCTTCCATTTATTCTCCATTCATTCTGTTGAAAATTAATCCAAGAGAATCCATTCACATTCTCTTCAGTTTCGTCACTGGCATTATTCCTTGACCATATCTACATATGAAAATATTTATCCTTAAACCATCTATTTAGAAGACCTATTTCCAAGCAGTCATTGTTCTTATTATCCCTGAGACTCCTAATGGCCCAATTACCTTTTCTGCATTCTATCATCTTATTTCCATCCATTCATTTATATCAGACATGTCAAACTCGCGACATCACGTGACATTGCGAGACGTATCAGGACACTTTTGCCATTGCCAGCAATGGGGTGGGCGCGGCTTCCGGATGACGCATCCGGCCCTCTGGCCGGCAGTTTGACACCCCTGATTTATATCATCTGAGAATAATAATTTCTTCAGAAATACATACATTTTCTAAAAACTTTACTGGAATTTTTTTCTAACCTCAGTCTGGCATAGTTTTCATATCTCCCTAGGTAAAGACTGAATGATTTTTCAGTACCTGTATTGATAACATTCGGACGTGAATCTAAGTAGTTTGGAAGGGTAAGACCAAAAAACATTGCAAAACCCAGGATAAAAAGATTGCGGGAGGAATTCATGTCCACAAATTGCAGATTGGAGAGGCCTACTGCAGTGATCATACCTGCAGAAAGGAAGAAAACGTTAAATAAATGCATGCCTAAACAAATAAATAGAGGATGCTGGAGAAAGGTAGTTAAGCCCCAAACTAAAAATCAGGTGGCAACAAAGACCATAGAAACTATTTCAGTCTACTGATTTTTCCTGGATATGGTTTCAGAAGGATCCCTGGGTTGAAATCCGAACATGATATAAAGAAAAGGCTATCCTAGAAGCGCAAATTAGAGCTGTTGTGTGGAGACAGTACATTACACTGTAACAAATAGCACCCAGGATGTTTTATGAGAAGCAAATATTTAGAATTGGAAAGCAACGGGATGTAGAAGATAACCCACAGTTTCTTTTAACTGGCCCCTCCTGTTGTTGCATGGATTTACAAAAATCTCATTTTTAAAAGTAAATAATTCATTTCAACCTTGTCCCCCAATCAGTAAGTTGCTGTGTCACTGACACAGCTATTTCTACAAATGACTTACCAAACAAAGTACAGAACATCCCTCCAAGGATGGGATCAGGGAGGGAGGCAAACAGAGCAGTAAATTTGCCAATGGTTCCTAAAATAAGCATGATTCCTGCACCATACTGTACCACTTTCCTGCTGCCCACCTGTGGAGGAAAAGCAGTAGTACAAATAATTAGCATATATTCATTATTAATTATTAATTATTACAGTTTGTCACACAGCCAGATGTTCAGACTGGATCTGGCATTTTTATCCCCCTATCGAGTCCTTACCAAGGACCTGAGATAGGCAGATGTGCATGTTTGATGGTGTTACAGATATTGTTGGAAGAGGTAAGTTGTTCTAAGTAAAGTTCCAAGTAAAGTAAAGCAAATTATGATGGTTTGTTGCACAGTCAGTATTATTATCTGTACACAACAATATGAAATCACAACTGCCAGTTCTTTAACTGATTAATATTTATATGTTACTTATATGTAAGGATGTAGGTCTATACATATGTTGTATATTAAGGTGACCAATCGTCCTCCTTTAGGAAGGACAGTCCTTCTTTTGTAAGTTCTATCTTCTCTCAAAAAGTGTCCTCCTACATGTCCTCCTTTTTGATATTTGAAGACTAATCTGTAAATCTCCATATTCGATCGATGCCGATCCGATCCGTTGCGTGTGATGTGACGTATTTGTATTTGACATGACGATTCGTCAAGGCTCGGTACAGTGCGGCGAGACACGATTATGAGACGCATGTGCTCCGCACAGGAGAATTGTTTTGAGAGAATGCGCTGCACGCAAGAGTGCGCCGCACGCAAGTGGCTTTGTTTACTTCTTACCGAAACACGATACAGCACACACGCACGCATTAGACTCACTTTTTTTCCTTCAATTGATTTGTGTCCTCCTTCTCATTGTAAAAAAGTTGGTCACCTTATGTATATAGTATGATTTAAATGTGTGTTATGTATGTGTACACTTTGAGAGGAAGCAACTAAATTTCATTTTTAATGTGTGCCATTGTGCCCACAGGAAAAAATGACAATAAAGGTTATCTAATTTGTGTTGGCCATTGTATGCACTGAGTTATTATTATTATTAATCTGTAAAGGGTTCTTCTGCTGTTACATTTTCTGCTGCCTCTACTCACGTCTGGGTGATGCTTGCAGGTACACGCTGAGCCCCAAAGGACAGATTAATTTTGCCTTTGATAACATCTGGCACATTTAAGCTTTAATTTTTTTCAGTAGGATTTCCAGAGTGCTTTCAGAGCAAAATAAGAGCAGCAAACCCATTTGTTTAGAGTGACGATTGTCACAGCTGCTGTCTCTGGTCAGCCCGGCTGCAAGCCAAGCTGAATGGTGACACATCTCAGAGGAAATCTTCCCGTTCAAATTACAGGTTGTGCACTTGTGCAAACCTGCTCAGTTGGTGAGAAATGATGGTCCTTCCAGAGGCCTAACTGTTCCCCAGTTAAGAGGATCAAGAAGGTGAGTCTCTTTGCCTAATCCAAACCCTGGAAAGCTACTACCAATCTGACTAGATGTTTTTCAGGTTAGCCTTGAATAGCCTTCCAGAATCTGCAGTTCTTTCATTTTTAGAAAACAATACTATAATTTAACTTCTGCAAAGGTGGCAACAATTCTGCATAATTAACAGAGCCCATGATGTGAACAACACAGCACCAAAAATGGGCTAGACTACCTTAATGCTGGAGCAAAAACGTCTCTCAGGGATCTAGAATGACAGTTTGGCATAAGGGAACTTGTTTACAAATGACTCAGAATTCATCCTTTGAAATTATCTTGTGATGCCAAAAATACTGTCTATATCTCAGTGGCAGATTTTGCACATAAACTGAAGCTTTGTGCTTCTCCCAGCATGCAAGAAGAAGCAGGCAGCTGTGTCCAAATCCATCAAAAGCCTAGAAACAGAAGATGTTATCGAACAGTGAAGGGTGATACCTTGGTGATGCCCAAGACTCCAATGTTGGGGCTGGAGGAAGTAGAACCGTTGCCAGTGCCCAGCAACCCAGCAATGATGCAACAGATTCCCTCTGTAAAAATGCCTCTGAGAGGAAAGAAGAAGAAGAAAAAGAAGAAGAAGGGTCCTCAGGGTTGTGTTAGGTGTTCCTGGTCTCTCTCCTAGCAATGTTAGGGTGATGCATTTCAGTCAATGGATACTCAGCAAATTACATGAAAATCTTGTCAAATAGTTTAAAGGGATAACTTCCCAAAAAATTAGAATTAACAAGTAGATGACGGTCCATCGTACGCAGATATGGCTGCCTGGTGATTTGTGGTGCTTCGGATTCCCATCAGCACCATAGTTCATCCTATTCCCTGACCTTGGCAGGCCAAAGCCATCTAATTTTTTTATTTTTTTTTAAAAGAGCAAATCCTGCCTTGCCCCACCCAATATAAGATTTGTGATACTTCCTCCTGCTGGTCACAGCTCTTGGGGATGTCATATGTAGGTAGCTGCCACATCCTGAGTTATTGGAAATCTCAGAGGAATCGAACCCACAGAACCATACAGACCTACTGCCCACCCACAGGTACTCACGGAGATAACAGGTTCCCTGACTAGATACATTCCTAAATTCTCCTGGCCTGATGGCTCAGTCTTCCTGGGGCAATATTCCCCCTCTGCTCATACCACAAAAAATCCATTGGAGTTTCATACACCCACAGGATTGGGTGTTCTCAGTTTTGGATGTAACGGCACCACCCTTTAAAAAGAAAAGGCCTCATTGGGTTCATCCTAGAGGAAAGCTTGAGTTAAAAGTTTCCAGCTAATCTGTGAAGCAGCCTGAGATAATGTGTGGTATAGGCGAGACTAATGTACACGTTGCCTATTGACTCCCTGAAAGATTTTCAAAAGAAACCCCATGAGACACATTTTGAATCTAAAGTTAGACCTCAAGTATTGACGGCCTCTTTCTTAAGAAGGGAGCAGTTAACAGTGTTTTGCTTTCGGCAGTGAAACAAATATGGTCTCTTGAAGCTGTTCCAAGGAACAGCCGCTTTGACCTACTGGGTCTGTGCTGGTGGTTATGCTCACATGACAACCTTGACCAGGTCAGTTGCAAGCCTCAACAGCTGTATTTGCACAATATTGTAAGCCTTTTTATTCTAGTCTAGCAGCAAAGTGGGGAAATTGTTTGTTTTGATGGCTGACTTAGTAAATCCTGTGAACCCAGCCTGCTTAAATGTTTACAGTTCAGGTAGTCTGCATACCAAGAAAACAAATTAATTCAGAAACCAGGTGAAGTTGTTATGTAATACAATATATAAAGCAGCCTGAGAAAATGGCAGGAAGCAGTTGCTATTAAAGGGTTTGCAAGGCTTATCCTTACCACACACACTGATGCTGAGTAGGTCTCAAACTTTAATCAGTAAAATGAGCCAGCCAGCAAAGCTGTCCTATCCCACACTGTGGGGATACAGTGTGAATGTCAGGATGAACTATGCATGAGAAATGGGAAGAGATGAGGCACTGCAAGAATTAAATCCCCTGAAATGTCACCCAAAGATCAATCCAGAGGCAAACATGGTGGAAATTCTATATCTTGGAATGATGGTGGTAACATGACCCACATTTCCCACAGTCTAGAAAACGTTGTACAGGGATCTCCCTGGATTGGGCAGGGTATGATAAANCCTTTAACTCTCTTTTAAACAAATATACTAATATTAAACACAATAATTATAACATCATATTAATAATTATAAATAAAAATAAGTAACCTATTATAACATATAAACTACATTAATACTCTAAAATTTACTCAAAAACCAAATGAATTTTTTTTAGTACCATATTTACTCTCAATATAATCTATCCATCTTCTCCAAACCGAAATATATCTTTCTTGTGAATAATCCTTCACATAAGCGGAAATCTTGGAGCAAATTACATGAAAATCTTGTCAAATAGTTTAAAGGGATAACTTCCAAAAAATTAGAATTAACAAGTAGATGACGGTCCATCGTACGCAGATATGGCTGCCTGGTGATTTGTGGTGCTTCGGATTCCCATCAGCACCATAGTTCATCCTATTCCCTGACCTTGGCAGGCCAAAGCCACCTGATTTATTTATTTATTTATTAAAAAAGAGCAAATCCTGCCTTGCCCCACCCAATATAACATTTATGATACTTCCTCCTGCTGGTTACAGCTCTTGGGGATGTCATATGTAGGTAGCTGCCACATCCTGAGTTATTGGAAATCTCAGAGGAATCGAACCCACAGAACCATACAGACCTACTGCTCACCCACAGGTACTCACGGAGATAACAGGTTCCCTGACTAGATACATTCCTAAATTCTTTTGGCCTGATGGCTCAGTCTTCCTGGGGCAATATTCCCCCTCTGCTCATACCACAAAAAAATCCATTGGAGTTTCATACACCCACAGGATTGGGTGTTCTCAGTTTTGGATGTAACGGCACCACCCTTTAAAAAGAAAAGGCCTCATTGGGTTCATCCTAGAGGAAAGCTTGAGTTAAAAGTTTCCAGCTAATCTGTGAAGCAGCCTGAGATAATGTGTGGTATAGGCGAGACTAATGTACACGTTGCCTATTGACTCCCTGAAAGATTTTCAAAAGAAACCCCATGAGACACATTTTGAATCTAAAGTTAGACCTCAAGTATTGACGGCCTCTTTCTTAAGAAGGGAGCAGTTAACAGTGTTTTGCTTTCGGCAGTGAAACAAATATGGTCTCTTGAAGCTGTTCCAAGGAACAGCCGCTTTGACCTACTGGGTCTGTGCTGGTGGTTGTGCTCACATGACAACCTTGACCAGGTCAGTTGCAAGCCTCAACAGCTGTATTTGCACAATATTGTAAGCCCTTTTATTCTAGTCTAGCAGCAAAGTGGGGAAATTGTTTGTTTTGATGGCTGACTTAGTAAATCCTGTGAACCCAGCCTGCTTAAATGTTTACAGTTCAGGTAGTCTGCATACCAAGAAAACAAATTAATTCAGAAACCAGGTGAAGTTGTTATGTAATACAATATATAAAGCAGCCTGAGAAAATGGCAGGAAGCAGTTGCTATTAAAGGGTTTGCAAGGCTTATCCTTACCACACACACTGATGCTGAGTAGGTCTCAAATTTTAATCAGTAAAATGAGCCAGCCAGCAAAGCTGTCCTATCCCACACTGTGGGGATACAATGTGAATGTCAGAATGAACTATGCATGAGAAATGGGAAGAGATGAGGCACTGCAAGAATTAAATCCCCTGAAATGTCACCCAAAGATCAATCCAGAGGCAAACATGGTGGAAATTCTATATCTTGGAATGATGGTGGTAACATGACCCACATTTCCCACAGTCTAGAAAACGTTGTACAGGGATCTCCCTGGATTGGGCAGGGTATGATAAAGGGAAGGCCTCGTGAATATGTTAATGAGGCAGTGTGCTGCCATAGCAAAAAAAAATAATCTCAAAATCCTTAAATGTGTAAAGAAATCAGCATTTGAAGTGCACCAAAAATTGACATTTCCCCCCCCCCTTCTGACCTTTGTCATCACAAAATGAGAAACCATTTTTTCTAAGAACCTTTAGCTACTGAAGTATCATCTCCCGCAGTTTTTATAAAAATGTGCTTAAAATATTACCTTTATCAGTGAAAAGCAGAACAGACATTTTAAAAAAAAATATAGACCCCTCTAAGCTGGATGCACCCTACCTATTGATGGCGTGCACAGGGGGCGGGGGAGCGCCTGCAAGTCGGGCACAGGCATAATAATCTCCAATGGACTCAATGATGCCAGATAACGTAGCGCTGAACATTCCCAGCACAGCAGCCGCAGTCACGGTGGGGATCCCCCACTGACCTGGGAAAACAGACAACACAACAAATATCAGCTGGGCTGTAAAATGTTGCTTTCTCTAGGAGGAGCAAAGACTGAAGTCCAATGAATAAAAATCATGAAGCCCAGATTCTTCTGTCTTTGAGTGTGCCTCTTTCAATCACACGTTCACACCAGCCCGTATGAATTCTCTTGACAAATTAAGCCGTGTCTTAAAACTGCCTGCAGGGTGAAGCACAGCCTGAAACATTCCCAGAGTACAAGGGGTAAACGGTAGAACATTTTGGGGTTCTACCATAAGCGCTCTTGGGGTTCTACCTTGGGGTTCCACCCTAAGATTTTTGTGACTTTCTGGCTCAGTGTGTCTCAACTTCAGCAGCTTTACGATGTGTGGACTGCAATTCCCGGCCTGTGGAATTCAGTTCCAGTCCACACTTCTTAAAGCTGCTGAATTCCAGCTGAAAGAAATGGCTTTGGGGGGTGGGTGTGTTTTTTTTAAATCTCCAAATCTATTTATTTATTTTTCTCCTAGCATCCATGTTAGGATGGAATGTAAAGAGCAAAGGAGTGGAGGTAAGAATGTAGATACATGGTTTGCCAACTGTCATTCTGGAAGGCAAATGGGAGCACTGAAGGATAGAAGAGATGAGAGAAACCCCCCCCCACTTTTTTTTTTCCTCCAGGCCACCAACTCCCATGTGTAATTCAAGTCTTGGGATGCAGGCGGTGATGGAGGTTTTGGGACAACATAAGGCTCTCTCAGGAGAATGTAGTCTGCCATTCAGCCTGTTCCTAGAAGGGCCTTGTTGCAGGAAAGGCCTTAGCACACCAAAGGCAGCGATTCCATCACTGGCTGAATAAGCCACAGCTGGCTGTGTTCATGCCCTCCACACCAAGCCATAAAGTAGGGTTTGCACATGATTGAGTTCACCCACAGCGTTCAAAGTCAAAATCATATCAGCCCAGGGGAGGGAGATTTCTTCCATGGGAAGGGAACATGTAGGAGCAGAATGGGATAAAATAAGGACAGATCCTGCCCATTCTCATGCAACAGGCAAATAAAAGAGAAAGAATAACAGGGAAGGTGGGATTGGAGATACGAGGGCATCAGACCTGTTGTCAGTGCACTCTTGTGAGGCTTAGCATGTCATGTGGATGCATATGACATTGCCCCCTCCCAAGATTGATGTGAGGCGAAGAGAGCTACGAGCCCAACTTACAGGGGTAGGGAAAGCGGAACCAAGGTGCTATGGACATGATTTCTCCTCTAGCATCTGTTCTGGCCTTGAATCCATAGGCATTGGCATCCCGAGGAAACACATCTGTCACCGTCAGAATGTAACAAAGCAGCCAGACCACCAAAATGGCTAGTATGATCTGAAGAGGAGATACAGAAAGGTAGAACCGTCATAATCTCCCAGCTGTACATCCACACTGAAAGAACGTCCGAAGACAGGAAGCAGCTGTAGGAAAAGAGCACAGGTCTCTAAACTATTATCCAGCTACTCTGTGCTGCTCTGCCTAGTTTTCACTTTCAAGATGCCTGTGGACCACCTGTAATCCAGTCCTGGGAGTATTTACTGCAAATAAATCCCATAGAGCTAGGGGAGCTTTAGTCCTGGAGAATTGTCTAGAATTGCAGATTGAAAATTTCAAATATTCAAGTATGCAGGTTTGAGTATTTCAACCAAAATCAAACAAATGTATACAACTGATTTGCAAAAGCTTTTAAAACCCCCCTCTCCTTGTTATGTTTAGTTTTAATTTACTTCTAATCTCTCCTTTGTCCCATTTTGCCTTCTTGATGCATGGGAAGCTTCTGTGTCAATTGACCTTTCATCATGGATAAGAGAGAGTACTGCATGTGAATGGATTATTTACTCTTTCTCAAAGTAACCCTCTGTGCAGGTAAAGAATAAGCTGCTCATGCTAACTAATGCAACTGGGAGACATGGCAGGATAAAAATCAGCAAATTCTGACCAAATTGTGAGGGCCACAGAAAATGTGCCCATACCAAAATGATGAACAAATGACAATCTCCTTACTGGAAACATCTTGAAGATCTGTATCCGGATCAAAATGCAGCCTTTCCCATATTTATAACCAGGAAGGAGAAAGGAAACATTTCGTAGGTATTGAGCAAATAGAACAATTAAAAAAATAGACCTGTTCAAAGGAGAGAAAAGACATGAGTGAACAGATTAGGAGCAATTTGATGCAGAAACCCTGGGATCTATTCATATGATTTCAAATTGGATTTATTGGATTATATCTAGGGAGTTATTTATCATGAATTTACCATTATCTAGGCATTTCCTTACACAAATGTGATACACAGGTTATATTAGGACTACAACTCTCCAAATTCTGGATAGCAGAACAGTAGCTATGCTTTTTAAAACTCTTGGGAGTTGTTGTCCAAAATGATTTGGAGGGCAGCAGATTAAAAAAAAAAAAGGCAGTTCTGCAATTTTAATAAACCACCAGTTGGATCAACAGTCTGTCGCATGAACTGGCTCTCATATGCCCTGGGTTAACCTCTTCAGAGAGCATTTGATCTGATTTTCTGATTTATGCTGAATAATTTCACAAAGGTACTTCATTCCCTCCCACCACCAAGTCCTAAAACTGAGACAGTGTGTAAACCTTAACATAACTTCTTTCTGAATTTGCATCTAATGACTACATGACCTTTTCCATAGGTGAATCTAATCTTGGCTAACAGGCATACTAGCTGAGAATCATGAGAGTTGAGGTTCAGCATAGCCAGGGTTTTGGATGGCTGGTTTAGAATCTGCTTTCATCTTCTGACTGTGCTCATCACTCATCACTCAGCATCCATGGGCAAGGCTGTCACCAGACTTGGAGTATTGTTGCCTGGAGAGCTTCAGTCCAAGTCCAGCAGCATTCAGCTGAGACCTGCTGAGGTCAGAGCAAATATATGAAAAATGTATCGGTTGTACTTGAGCTGAGCTCAGATAATTGTCAACAGTCTCACCAAGAAAAGTTCAGTGCTTCTTTCCACAACATATTCTTTCAGCCCTTGCTCCCTTGCCTGTCTAGAGTGACAGAACCACAGTGAACCAATGGATGAGTATAAAATGCAAGGTTCCAATTTAGGTCCCTAAAACAAACTTCCCTGAAGCCAGTGAGAATCACATAGAATGAGTGTGGTGACTGAAAGGTTCATAACATCCACTTTGTAAATTCATGACCCTTCAAACTGTGAATTGTGGTACTTCAGCCGCCAACACTCATGTGTGGTTTATTCCATCACTTGTAAAATTATGTGGTCTTTCTTTGGTCATACCATATAGCAGAACTGCAGAGCTACAAACCCCTTAGGAATAGAGATCAAGAGATTCATAATGTTCTCACCATGCCACTGTCCTATTCTACTTATCATGCACACTTACACCCGTAAGTGTGCACAAGCACAGTCTTTCTGAAGATTTGAGCCACTGGTAGCCAACCATCCAGAACTTCACTCTCTGCTTCATTTGGCTTGGTCTGGCAGTTGAGTGAGGAGATGAGAGAGCATCTGGCCAACGGGCCAGTTTGTATCTCTGCAGTTCACTCCTCTGAGATACTACAGTAGTTCTGCAACTCTACAGGCTTTGCTCCACTCTTGCATCAGTCTGAAAATCTGCTGTACTGAAAAAGGAGCACCTACAATGCGGCAATGCCCCAGTGTGATCCAGCTCTATCCCCTGCTGCTTGGAAGACGGAGAGACCTATTAAGGAGACAGTGGGTGTGACTGTCAGGGGCCCAATGTAGCCGAGTAAGGCCCCAGGAACGCCCACCAATCCAATTGCCACTTCCACCAGGCTGGAAATGATGATAGCTCCTTGAATCTAGAATAGAAACAGGAAAAGGATGAATTATGTTGGCAAAGATGCATTGCAAATACTTCACTCAGAATATTTGTAATAATCCTAATTTAGGAAGGATAGTCCTCTGTATAAAGAGATTAGACATTTCATAGATTGACTTGATTTCCTGAAGTCTTAGAGAGGAAGACCTCTAAGTGGGAAGAGAAAACAGATGTTTCAGTGTTGGCTATAAACTGTCAGCATCTGAACTAGCAGACTAAATAAGGAAGCCAATACAGTCACTTGGTTATCCTCTTCCTCTACCCCCATGGTAAGATGAACATCTTACTTTTAAAAAAGACAGAAATGTTCAGAAGAATGCATGCATTTTATGATATTCTTCATTATCACTGCTTGAGAAATGCACAGCTGGCAACTATAATTTAGGACAAAACGCCTGCTTTCTTGCAAAGATGTATGTAACTTTCTTGGTCTTTCACATTTATGTGCCCAGCTGCTTTGGGTTGGGTTATAACCCTTTATAAAAGACACATTTTTGTACAAATTGGGTTCTAACCTGCCCTTATTCACTGCAACCTTAATCCCTAGCCTAGCAAGCCCTGAATTTATGATGCATAAATCCTCCCAGCTGAGCCTCCATATCTGAGTCCTGCAGTCTCCCAGTATAGTTTCTTGCCAACCAGCTTTGAGCAATAAATGTAAAACTATAAGTCTAATCCAGAGATGTGCACTTTCTTCAACTTGAAGGCTACACCAGGATTTGCATAGCACCTTAAGGGTTGCACTCTAAACCTGGAGAATTAGGGTTTGGGGATTTAAAGAGTGAATGGATGCCTCAAAGAAGTCAAAGCATCTGTTTAAAATCAAATTAACTTCTCCCGTCGATTGTAAAGAATCCAAATGTTAAGCTTCATCCACTCTGACAGCCATGAAAGGTATTTTGATGAGATGCACATAGGGGTTCCCTGACACTTGTTGCACCGGTCCCTTCCAACAAAGTTTCCTCCCCACTCCTGCATTGCCAAAAATAAAAATAAAAATCCAAGCAAAATAGAAACTTCCAGGAAAGTTCTTGGTCACCTAACCTTAACCCTAACCCTAACCCTAACTCTAATCCTAATCCTAATCCTAACCCTAACCTTGTATACCTTAGTTCCTCCCCAAAACATACTAAATAAAGCTCTACACCTCATAGTAGGACACAGCTCAAGCAATTATTTGAAATCTTCTCTATGGAGATTCTCAGTCATCCAGGTCATGGTTGTCCCAGAGGTGCTTTTTCAAAAGGCAACTAAACTTTGTTTTTCCTTGAAAACGTTTCGCTTCTCATTCAAGAAGCTTCTTCAGTTCTGATTTCAGTTCAATCAGAACTGAAGAAGCTTCTTGAATGAGAAGCAAAAGGTCTTCAAGGAAAAACAAAGTCCACTTGCCTTTTCAAAAAGCACCTTTGGGACATATTTGAAGTCTTAGTAAATAGCACATTTTAATTGCTTCATCTTGCTTAACATACCATCTAGCTAACAAAGAAGAATTAGGAAAAGTTAACATCTGATACACGCTTTCCTGGATGAGTATGGAAAATTACTTATAAGTGCAATGATCCTATTTTCTTGGAATAAATAAAAGACAAACCTGAAAAAGAGGCAAATCTAAAAGAGGTTCATAAGGATTAAAATGTTTATGTTTATAACTTTGTATTACAAGGGAAAATTCAAGAGCAAAACCAAGAAAATAAATAACCAAATCAAATAAATCTAAAGGACAGCTTTCGGAATTGAAGGTTTGTCCCTTAAAATAAAGAACGTCTGGTGACTGTATGTCAAAGCAAGAAAAAGAAGAATTCAGATTTTGGCTTCGACCATCTACGTGCCGATGGCATGTTATTTGAATAAAGACTCTTTAAGGTAAACAATGCCTCGAAGTTCTTTGAAGAGTAACATCTGTCAGAACCCTGACACTGTACTTATAAACAGAAGATGTCTTCTTTTTTATGTCTGCCATAAAAAAAACCTTTGAAGGCTATAAAGAGTTCCTCCTGTTCACTATTTCCCACTGATGATTGATATCCTGAAAAAATGTGGCCGGGTGTGCACCTGGAAAGGCTGGGATCAAACTTACTTCTCTCATTCTTGGTTGCCATATGTGAGAGGTGTTCAGTGGTAATGTCCAGTTGCCATAGATTTGGTCTGCATGAATTAAGCAAGAAATTAGGGTTAAAGAGCACAATTAGACAATACACTTTCTCTTTCTGGAGGAAGGTAACTCTATTTCAGAACAGCCTGAATCCCAGACAGAATAGTGAACATGAGCCAATATATTTCTTCTCCCTCCATCCAGTTTATTGATGTTATGGTGGTAGGTAGTATGTGTTGAGGAATAAACATTTGTTAAAAATTGTGTATAAATGTGTGCTTCTCCTGATTTTGTTACATAGAAATGACAGTCGGGTATGCCAAGAGAAACAAAATAAATTTAATGCAATGAGGACAGGGTCCTTAAGAAGTAAGCGTAGTAAAACAGGAAAAGCGTGGGTCAAGGTGAAGAGGCTGATGATTGAATGCAAACTGAATGGAAAGCAGAGGGACCAGGGTAAAAGAAATGCTATGAACGGACCAAATTCCAACCCTAACTTATAAAGTAAAGACTGAATGAATGGGCTGAGAAGAAGAAGACAGAGAATGTCTTTGTTGAATGGAGTTTATGACAATAAAAAAAGAGAAAAGTAGTATAGGAAAGTGTGCGACCATGGTGGATGCAAGGATGGATTCTACAGACAGAAAGCTATGGAAAGCTTGTGAATGGTTTGTATGAATTAAATCTAGCCATGTTGCTTTTTCTTATTGTATGCCTTTAATGTCTTTGGTTGTATGCCCTTAATGCCTTTCTAATTACTTACTTTTTAGACTCTACATAATATTAGTTAACCCCAAAGGTCTGTATCCAGACCCCAAGATGGCTTTGAATGTATGTATTTTAAACTTTTGTAGACCTCCTACATGCTATCGTTTCCAAAGTCAAGGGTAAAGAATTCTAGGAATTCTAATCAGAAAATCTGGAAGGCAACCAATTTGTCTACAACAGTGTTTCTCAGCCTTGACAACATTAAGATACATGGACATCTGGCTGGGAAATTCTGGGAGTCCACATATCTTAAAGTTCCCAAGATTGAGAAACACTGGTCTATTACAGTATGACATTAGAAAAAGTGAGTTGTCAGAGGTCTGCCTGGGACCTATATATAATTCTATAAGTAAACCTGTTGGCTTTTAGCAATTTTTAGAGCCTAAATTCACCCAATCAATGCAAAAGAGGATGCTGTACACCTCAATCTCAGCTTTATCTTCATCTGGAAAGTTAAAGCAGATAGTTTTATGTCACATTATGTCCTAATAGTGTGACAACTTCCTCATTCCTACAGCACACATATACTCCTGATGTTGTTTTCTTTTAAATATCCATTTTTTCCCTAAACTTTTTTTTATTTAAGCCCTTGGGGCAACAAAGATTTCTGCACATCAACATGAAAAGAATTATCAAGTTTACTTCTGGGATGCTACTTCAAAACAAATACAAAAAAAATCAAGAATTTTTCATAATCAGGAGACTGTTAAGTCCTCTTACTGCAAGGCATGGTATCACAGAGGATACTATATATAGTTCTTGTTTATAGTCACGTCCCATCACATACTGTATACAGTTAGCCCTTGACTTATGACCACAATTGAGCCCAAAATTTCTGTTGCTAGGCAAGACAGTTGTTAAGTGAGTTTTGCCCCACTTTATGACTTTTCTTGCCATGGTTATTAAGTGAACTAGGCTTCCCCATTGACTTTGCTTATCAGAAGGTCACAAAAAGTGATCACCTGGAACATTGCAACCGTTATAAATATAAACTAGTTGCCACGGGACAACTTTGATCATGTAACCATGCAATGATCGTGTGAAAAACAGCCATGAGTCACTTTTTTTCAGTGCCATTGTAACTCTGAACGGTCACTAAACAAATATTTGTAAGTCGAGGACTATCTGTATGACCATTTGAAAAGCTACTGATTTCCTTCACTCAGTGAAAGGCTTCTGAAGATATTTCTGTTTTAGCTCCTCTCAACTTATAGGCTATCCAAGTTTCAGTTACCTTCTGGAGGACATTTCCATTTTTCCAGGGCCAAGATGGATTTGGCAGGAACCAGGAATGCCAGGGCACTGGCTTGAAACAGAGGAAGCCTGCCTTACAGAAGGGGGGAGGGGAAACAACAGTGCATGGATTCAGTGCTGCTGTCAGGTGTCCAAATGAAGTCAGGCTGACATGAACTTGTAGTTTTATATAAATAAATATATTTTACATCTATATTTACAGCAAACAAGATAGTCGGGCAAATGGGGGCATCGTGAGGTAAATCACAGAGCACACAGGGCGCACAGAAAAAAAAAGGCGGGAAAAAGGGGAAACTCCCCCCTCCACACCCGCAGCAACCAATCACAGCACAGATTACCTCACGCAAGAGCCAGCACTCTCCAACTAATCAATTATAACTGCATGTTCTGGCTCATTGTACAACCCCGCTATTCCAGCTACTAAATTTAAATATCTTAACAGCTGCCCTCTCGCCGCAGTCTCCTCTCTGTTACATTCACCAAGGATCAAACCAGATGAATCATACCTAATGCCCACAGTGCTTTGGATGAGGGTGGTGATGCCCACGCAACTGAAGATGGTGCCGATCAGTTGACTGATGGTGTACTGGTCCTTCCCTACACAGAGAGACTCTGCCAGAAGGAAGGGAACAGCGATGGTGCCACTGAAACACGTCAAGTAGTGCTGGAGGAAAGATTAGGGTGGAGGATGTGTCAAATGAGCATAAGATTAGACGATGTCTCCAAACTGACACACAGGCATCACCACTTTGGGATTTATTGGTTATGCAGAAATGCTGACATTCTCACAACTGACCTGTTGTTCTAATACAGATAGTAATTTCCCCAAATAGGGCTTATCCTCTCCTTGTAAAATAGTAGTCAAAGACATTTCCTGAGAGTTCTATGACCTTTCTTTAATCTGTGAATTCAGTGGCCAGGGCTGTAAGAGTGTAGGCCAAATGGGGGCAATGACATGCAAAAACAGAGGATTAATCATGCGTGGCATATTCTGAGCTTTGTTGAAATCTTTAAAAAAAAAAAAACCTAAAAGAGGCAAGAATGTTTTTTTGAATGCCCAAATGCCTTTCCAACAGTCACTTTTTGCTCCTATTGCAATAAAATGACATGATAGCAATGTTCCAATATCTCAGGGGCTGCCACAAAGGAGGTCAACCTAATCCCCAAAGCACATGAAAGCAGAACAAGAAGCAACGGATGGAAACTAATCAAGGAATGAACCAACCTAGAACTAAGGAGAAATTTCCTGACAGTTAGAACAATTAATCAGTGTTTCAGGTCAGCTACTCTTCAGCAAAATCAAAACCGAAAATGAAATGTTTTGATCGATCCTGATTCAGATTAAACAAAAGCTGGACTCTGCATATCAACTGCCACTGTCTGCAAGCAACACAAATATCACACCATGCTTAGTTCAGTGTTTCCCTCCCCCTCCCCTCTAATTATACACGACTTATTTGGGACACAGACCACCAGGAATCCCCTGTCCTATGTAGAGAACGGGGCACACAAAGTTGGGTTCATTGTTGTTGTACATCCATTATTAGCACTGAGCCAACAGATGAGATCCTAGTCTTGGTAGCTTTGTAAGGGTGACACAGCATATTTTCCTTCTCACTATAAATTTTTCAATTTTTTAAAAAATGCATCTGAAATAGATGTACGAAAGCATAGTCCCAAGATGTGATTGGGGTGCAAAGTTCTATACAAGCTAATATTGCAGAGATAAAAGAACAATAGAAGTAAGATGCAATCACCATTCAGTATAAGATTCATAGTCAAGGTACGTCTTGTACCTTTTCAACAATAGCATCATTAATGAAGGAACACACATAGTAACATCTAAATACATGTAAAGAGTCAGTTTGTTATTGTGGGTGGAGAAACAATCACCATGCCAAATATTTGTTAATTTAAACAAGCTAGGGAGAACAGCAAAAGAGCCTGGAAGGAGCTAACCCAGTTTATTATACCTGAAATCCCAGGAGGATGCAAAGATACCATGGAGGCGCATCTTCGATTGTATAGAGCATATCAAAATTCTTCTGCTCCTCGGAGACTGGTGGAGCAACACAATTCCCATTTGCTGCTTTTTGCTGAAAATGAAAGAGAGTATGACCACAGTCAGATTCTGTAGACTGTAGTCATGGAGGAACTCCTAAATTCTCAAAAATGGCTTTCCTCAACCTGGAATATGCTGAACATATTAAAAAAAAAAAAGTTTTACAACTTCTAGAGTTGGCTGGGTTTTCTGAGGGTTGCCTCCATCGTAACTGAAAGGAGAACTTATGAGAGATGCAAACATGATCTGAGAGGCAGATGTGGGCAGCAAAACTGGCTGTATTAATCATGCTGCATTTAGAATTGTGTTCTGCCTTATCCAACCATGATCTTTAATATTTTTGGTGATGGTATATTTTTTTTATTACAACTTCCAGAGTTCATGCAAGAAATCCCAAATTCTTATCAATAATTCCATCCAGTTGTCCACTGCAGAAGGAGACCATGGAGCCTGTTTGGCTTAGTAGCTAAGAACCTTGGCTAAAAATCAGAAACTTGTGAATTCTAGTCCTGCCTTAGGCATGAAAGCAGGCTGGGTGACTTTGGGCCAGTCACTCTCTCTCAGCCCAACCCATCTCTAAGGGCTGTTGTGGAAAATGGGAGGAATGAGCACTGAGTATGAACACCACCATTAGTTGACAAAAATAAAGGCAGAGTAAAAAATCTAATAAATAAGTAAATAAACAATAAGATCAAGCCACATCCACAATATAAAACCAATAGAAATATAAATACAGGGAGACTTGCTGAACATTCAAGAATTACATCCTCTGTGATCTAAATTCTAGTGCTACACAACAACTAAAGAATCCACTATGAACATGAAATTCAACTTCAACACACAACACCTTTGAGTCATTCCTCACTGCTTCCTCTAAGCATTTCATGTAAAGAAGTATGAGTACAGACCTAGACATCTCCAATTTACTCTTTCAAGATCACAATCAGGTATACTATGTACAAACAACTATTCTGGATTCTGCAATGAATTTGGTATCTGCCCAATCAATCTGCGAATAATTTATGCATTTAAATGACACCAAACATACTGACAAATAATTTATCCAGCTAAAAAAAGTGACATTAGAAATTACATACTGTCAAATTGTCCATATATCTTTATATGCAGATAGATTACTACTATATGGAAATGCCTTTGACAATATGTCAAGCATGGCTTTATGGCAGCCTGTTGCTTGTTTCTCTGTTAACAGTCAATAAAAATAGCCTATCACCTTCTTTGTTTTAAATGGTGCTTAATATGTTTGAGGAAAAAACAGTGTTATCCTTTAAATTTACCTTACAATGAGAAGGATCTTCGGAGTTGCTTCCCATGTTTGTACAAAGCAAGATCAGACTTTCTAAAGGATGAGAAAATGTAGTAACAAGCATATTTATCACCTTGGAAAGGACTTTAGACAACATACCAAAGCTTGTCAATCTGTAACTGGAGCTATTGGCTGTTGAGTCATATAATAAATTATATAGTCTTGAAAGTTCACACTTTCATAAGACATTTACTGGGCGAAACTGATTGTCCCTCCTTTTTAGTAATGATAGTTTTTCCAAAGCTTTGTGGGAAAAACATAAGAACAGATAACTAATTTGCTAACTGATGTTTACACAAAACTACAACAGTGGTATGTAAGGACCAGGGAATCAATACATATAGGGCAGCCTGTAGGGATCTGTATTTTGGAAAGTATCTCAGCACAGTCATCTTAGATAACTAGTGGCAAGTCAACTTATATCTCCCAACACATCATCACCCATCTGATAATCCTTTCTAATTTTCATCAACAATTGACGCATCGTCCCCTATGTAATATGACCTCCTCTGAATTTTAATAATTATGATTATAATTCAACAATTCCATAGACTAATTTTAATCAGGACCAAGATAAATCAAATCGGTTTTCACTTATAAGCAAACCAATGTAGGAACTGAAAGTCTGCTCTGACCAAAGTTAAGTCAAAAGACATTATTTATTTGACTGGTGAAGTTTATTTCCAATTAAACATTAAGAGAATGTATCACGTGTACCAATCTACCTGCACCAGCTCTTACCTTACCTTTCTGTTGTTATTTGTCACACTTGAATCTGTGATGTTTCTTGCCAGTCTCTCTTTAGCAACCAGACTTCTTGGAGAAGATTTCCAGTGTAAAAGAAATTTTCTTCTTTCAAGATTGTGACTCATGAACTCTGTGGCTGTACTTTCTTAAACAGCAGAAGATATATGTATGCAGAGGACCAGCCAGTATAATTGGCTTGCAGTACTCTGGAAAAGCCCCACCCACTACAGACTGGGGAGGTATTTACCATAGAGACATCTCCATGTGATTGTGGGATGGTGAAATGGTCATGGTAGTTTCTTTCTCCAAAAGAAAGGAATAAGATATCTATTCTGGAGGAATTGTGGAATATGGGCAAAATCTGCTTTAAAAGTAGCAGTTCAAACAATTGCGTCACCAGGATTGGCTGGTACTTCAAAAGAGAAAATGGAAATGATCAAAACACAGATTGTCATGTAGAATGCAATTGATTTGCACACCCATTTGACAGAAGATACTTTCTCCCAAGCTCCAAAGAAAGTATATTTTAGTCATTTTATGGCTGTGGGCAAATGAGCAGGCATTCTGCCACAGTTATATACTTCTAAAGAAGCTATTTTTCTTCAGTTGCACAGCCATCTTACTCCCTATGACTGCTCAATTCCTTATCTTCATCCACCCTTGGCAGTGGGCCTGGTGACATTTCTTCACAAATATGTCGCTCTTAGAAAGGGTAGATACATACATAAAGATGTAGAAATCAACACAGGAGTCTATTTGTTTACAGTTGCAGAATGGTTTTGTTGTATATGTGCTATGGCTATTTCAAACAACACGAAGAAATAACATTGCTTTGCCATTTGGAAATGTATGTAGTTTAATAATAATTGTAAAAAAAATATCTCTCTGCTGCTGATGAATAGTTTAAACCCTCTCTAATCCATATGTAAAGTTTTAGACAATTGCACTTTATAATTCATACCTTGATCTCACTCTGTATATTGATCTGGACAAATCCATACTTGTTTGGCCAAATTGCCTAATCCAGACTAGAGATCTACCCTGAAATCCAGAAATAACGTTGAAATAGTTTAAAGCCAATAACACCCTTCCCCTTGTTTTAGGGATCCAGTCTCAGTTTAGCAGAAGGTATGTTTTCCGAATGTTATGCCGGGGCTTCTACCATGAAACCAGAGGACTTAAATGTCTGATTCAAACTCTTACTTCTTGGCATTGCTCTTCCATAGTATATAGAAAAGATTCTGCCTCATTAGCTGTAACCTACTAACAACTTACATAAACCTTGACACATTCATCAAACAAGGTTGGGCATTTGTGTTACTTGTATATCCTTGACTATGACTAAATCTGATTTCTCCATGTTAAGGAATTTCTTGATTAAGTAAACTAGCTCTGTACTGGGAATCAATACCTGGGAAGATCCTGGAAAAGATAATAAAAAAACAGATATGCAAACAACTAGGAGCAAATAAAGTTATAATCAGTAGCCACCAGGGGTTTGTCAAAAACAGATCATGCCAAACCAATCTTATTTCATTCTTAGATAAAGTGACTAAATTAGTAGATCAGCGAAACGCTGTGGACATAGTATATTTAGATTTCAGTAAGGCATTTGACAAAGTAGACCACAACCTGTTGCTTAGTAAGCTAGAAAAAGGTGGGATAGACAACACTACCACCAGATGGATCTGTAGCTGGCTGACAAACCGTACTCAGTAAGTAGTCCTCAATGATATTATATCCACATGGAGAGAGGTAAGCAGTGGGGTACCACAAGGCTCTGTCTTAGGCCCAGTACACTTCAATATCTTCATTAATGACCGAGATGAGGGAATAGAAGGGGAACTCATCAAATTTGCAGATGACACTAAACTGGCAGGAATAGCCAACACCCCAGAAGACAAGCTCAGGATCCAAAAAGATCTTGACAAATTTGAACAATGGGCCCTATTCAACAAAATGAATTTTAATGTGAGGAAAAGCAAAGTTTTACATTTAGGCAAGAAAAATCAAAGGTATAGGTACAGACTAGGCGAGACCTGGCTCAAAAACAGTAATTGTGAGAGGGACCTTGGATCACTTGACTATGAGCCAGCAGTGTGCAGCAGTTATACAATCCTGGGTTGTATAAACAGAGGCATAGAATCAAGATCATGCAAAGTATTAGTACCACTTTATAAAACCCTAGTAAGACCACACCTGGAATACTGCAACCAATTTTGGTCACCATACTACAAAAAAAGATGTTGAGACCTTGGAAAAAGTTCAGAGAAGAGCAACTAAGATGATCCAAGGCCTGGAGACTAAAACATATGAAGAATGGCTGCAGGACTTGAGTTTGGCTAGTCTAAAGAAAAGAAGAAATAGGGGCGACATGATAGCAGTATTCCAGTATTTGAGGGGCTGCCACAAAGAAGAGGGCATCAAACTATTCTCCAAAGCACCAGAGGGCAAGACAAGAAACAATGGTTGGAAACTGAACAAAGAGAGAAGCAACCTGGAATTAAGGAGAAAGTTCCTAACAGTGAGGACAATTAACCAGTGGAACAGCTTGCCCCCAGAAGTTGTGGGTGCTTCATCACTGAAGGTTTTTAAGAAGAGACTAGAGTCCAGTGGTGGCGAACCTATGGCACGGATGCCAGAGGCGGCACTCAGAGCCCTCTCTGTGGGCACCCGTGCCGTCGCCCCAGTCGTAGGCCTTCAGCTGGGTTTTATAAAACCTTTTCTCTTTAGGCCTCCGCCGCGTGTGCAAAAAAAAATAATGGTTCAATCAATCAGTCAATTTCAATTTCTCGCGGGGAAAAAAAAGATCTTGCAAAGTTGGAATTGATTGAACTTTTTAGTCCCACCCAATCTGCCGTTACCACTGCAGCCACGCCCACGCAATGGGCCACACCCACCCCACACCCGACAATGCATAAGTGGGTTTTGGGTTGCAGTTTGGGCACTTGGTCTCTAAAAGGTTCGCCATCACTGGACTAGACAGTCACTTGTCTGAAATAGTCTGAAATAGTATAGGTCAGGGGTAGGCAACCTCGGCTCTTTTATGACTCATGGACTTCAACTCCCATAGCTGACTCAGGAATTCTGGGAGTTGAAGTCCATGAGTCATAAAAGAGCCGAGGTTGCCTACCCCTGGTATAGGTTCTCCTGCTCGAGCAGGGGGCTGAACTAGAAACTCCAAGATCCCTTCCAGCTCTGTTCTATTCTGTTCTGTTCCGTTCCGTTCCGTTCTATTCTATACTTGTTCTGATTTAGAGGACTATTAGCTAATCTTATTAAATTGTGCAAGAATGGTCAGGTTACTGGGGTAGTTTCTGGTGATTTCTTTTTGTGTGTGTGTGCCTTCAAATCACTCTTGACTACTAGTGACTGTTTGGACAAGGCCATATAGTTTTCTGGGCAAACTTTTTCAGAAATGGCTTACCATTGCCTGCTGAGAGAGAGAGAGACTGGTCCAAGGTCACTTCTCTGGCTTTCTGCCCAAGACAGGACTAGAACTCATAGTCACCTGGATTCTAGCCCAGGAATCTCAATCATTCCACCAATCTAGCTGCCCTCTGTGAAGCCATATAATCTGCGTTAGTCTTTTGAATGAAATATGGCCTAATCCTGTACCCCAAAAGCAGCTACGATGAGCTCTTACTGATATTCCTTGCATAAGCAGAAGAATGAGGGGAGCTTCAAATACGCACGGTCTCCATCTTAATTAAAATATGGCACAGGACAAGGTAAACAGACAAGACTGGCGAATTAAGCACCCGCGTGAGAAGAAAATCAATCCTAACTATGCAGAGACAGGAAATCTGAGCCCTTCCTGTTTTAGCTGAATTGCATTTACCACTTTCTCTCATCATTGGGCATCCAGCTCTGAATTAATGAGTAAAGAGATAAGTAATGAATTAATAGAGGGACTGAGATAGCTAGCCTTTCAATAAGTTGGTCAGAACAAAATGCTCACCATCCTGAAATATTAAAAGGGTTTTATAATATTACTGAGATTAAAGAAATTGACTATGTAAGACAAGTTTAAGTGGAAAAATAAGATGGGGTATTCACAGGGGAATTGCCAGAGAGAGAGAGAAAAAAAGGGGGGGGGATTATTTATTCTCACATTTATCCATTCAGTGTTTTGTCCATTGCAATCAAGAAATATTTAAGCTCTCTGTGTCGAGACTCAGAGACAAGGAATGAAGACTTTGCTATATGTGCAGGACAAAGTCCATCTCAGTAGCTCTTTAACTAGCCGTCTATTAATTA